CTGATGAAGTTAAAGGCCTCTTGATGTGGCCATATTCCAGAAGCCTCACCCCTAAACACCTTTGGGAGAACATTTTAGATCCAAACCATAACAAGGGCCCTTGGCATTTTAAATAGAGGAGTGCCAAGCTCCTACTTGGTTTCAAAAGAATCACTTTAGATTTGGTGTGGCTAAAAGTTGTAGAGAAGGCTAATTCAGAAGCAAGGGAGCCTGCCAGGAGGTCACAGCAGGGGTCTGGGGAAGAGATGGTGACTGGGACCACGATGGGAGCAGTTGCGATCATAAGTGGGCAGATTCTGGATATATTCTGAAGGTACAGACAACAGCATTTGCTAGCAGATCAAATGTCAAATGTGAGAGAAGAATAAAGAATGATTTGGGGGCCAGAGCAGCTGAGACAATGGAATTACCGTTAACAGAGATGGGGCGAAGTAGGTTTGAGTTTCCCTTTGACATCCAAGTGAACTCAGCTCAGTGGCTGGATAGATGTGGGTGTGAGTTTTAGAGGAATGGTTGGGGATGAAGACATAAACTTGGAAGTTGTCAGCATATAAGTCGATTTTTAAAACCAAGAGACTGAAAATGACAAGAACCCATCTCTTAACTAGGTCACCTCTCATATTGAGTAATAACCTCAAGCAGGGTTTATTCGAGGAACAAAGATGATGCAAGATCTGAGGTCTAGCAGTGCAATCACCATGGTAACAACAGAACAGGACCATGTGATCATTTCAGTGATGCAGAAATGGTACTTGATTTTTAAAAACAAATTTGTGATTTTTTTTAATTTGGCAAATGAGTGTCAAAAGGGAACTTTTTTTGTTGTTGTTGTTAAGATTTTTTTTCCATGAGTGCAATTACCAAGGACCATGAAGTTGGAAAAAGAAATTTACAGCATGTATCTTCAAAGTTCAAAACTGGTCACTTCACAGAAAGACTTCAGGGCTTGTTGAATTTTTTCTCCTAAAAAGTCATTCTGTAGTGGAGTTTTCTAGGAAAAACTAAACAACTTTTAATAACTGGCCCTCTGGTGTGAGAGCTACCGTGGAATAAATTAGTACAAAAATGGAAAAAGAGTCTTGTAACTGTTCACTGTTACAGACCTAACAAGGTCAGTTACTCTCAAAAGCTCATCTTCTTCCTCTTCTGGTGCCCCTGCCTCCTGCCCCCCGCTTGTTCCAGCAGTGGCTGTGCTGTTGTCCTTGGTGGTCTGAGGTTTCTCAGGTGGCTTGCCAATCAAGTTCTCAATGGCTTTGCCAGGACTCTGTCCATTAGTAGAAGATAAATCCACTAAGCTATAGTCCAAAGGGCTCCCTACTTTGCCAACATTTTCAAAGTCCTCTTCCTCATCACTTTCTATCTGGAGATAGAAACCCCGGAGATTTTATTATAAGATACTAAATTGTCTACGGCGATAATGGTTATATAGTGCTTCTACAGGGCATTGTTTAAATTGATCTCATAATAATCCTGTCAGGAATTAGTCACAAGTGAGAGATGGGATAACTATTAAATAGAAGAGTCAAGCCTTAATCTCAAATCTTCTGGGGTTGTTGCCTGTCCTGTTCTATTTGTATCAAAGAGAAGCACCATCATGGGGTTTGGGATGTAGCTCAAAGGTAGAGCACTTGTCTACAATGTGCAAGGCCCTGAATTCAGTCCCAGTACTACACACACACACACACACACACACACACACACACACACAGAGAGCAGCACAGTAACCGGATGTGGTGGTACAGGCCTATAATCCCAGCACTCAGAAGGCTGAGGCAGGAGGATCACGAGTTCAAGGCCAGCCCAGGTTACATAAGGAGTTCCAAACCAGCCTGGTTACCTAGCAAGGCACTGTTTTAAAAAATGAATAGTAACAGCCTACTTCTTATGGTTTAAGTTCCATTCCTGCAGCCACAGCATCTCTTATTTCAAAGAGCCTCTTTACCACCTTCCCAGCTTCTCCCCCAGCAAGTATGTCTTGTACTGTGGCCAGGTCAGGGCTCTTTTATCACGCACCGTTTCAGAATTCCATGTGCTCAGTGTTGGGAGGACGTAGCATATCTGCTCCCTGCCTTGACTTCCTTCGCGAAGTTAGCTCAGTGAACAGTGCTTCTAGTCTGCTGCTGTAAGCCTCTTCCTTTTAGGGACGAGAAGGATAACCACATGGCTGGGTGATTGCTTTTGTATCACACTTCTCAACCGAGCAGAACTAACCCATCAAGGTTGGACAGATTAAATGTGGGGGATTTCTTCTTCACGTGGCCAGTAGAAAGCATCAACTTTAGTGCCCCTATACTCACACTAGCCTTTAGGACAGGGAAGCAGCAAACCTACTTTGCCAGCACAGAAAGCACTCTCATTGAACTGACTGATAATGAGACTGATGCTTTGTTTCTCTGCTTTTCGTCTAATTTCTCAAGAACCTAGGTTCAGAACTTAAGTGTACTTACTTTGCCTCTGGAAGACCTTCACAGCTAAAATCCTGCCTCATGCCAAGTCAAACCCTACCACATCTGAACCTGGAGAAGGTGTGGCCACTGAGCTGAACTGGGAGTGCAGCTAAAACCCCCGAGGCCATCGTAGCCTCAGGTGTTGCCTCACACTCACAGCTTTCCATCAGTAACAATGGCTCCTATTGCCAACCTTGGCCCAGAAGCAGGTAGAAGTGCACAGGACCTAAGAAGGGGAAAGCTGTGTGTCACTAAACACGGACACAGGCAGTTCTTTACCTGCCCCTCTAGGGAAGCCCTCTGCTTGTTGGCAGGGTCATGAAAAACAATCACCTAGGCTTTGATCCTCACTTTGCAAGGACACCTGTCCTTTCCCTGTGTGTACTGAGGTTTGTGCTATCCAGATCTCTGTTAGGACTCTGCCTGATGGGCAGCTTCGTGGACATTAATCTGGACGTGTCAACTTCACTGGGTTAGGAAACACCTACCAGAGTAGTACAGGACACTCCCAGATGTGTGAGCTGGCGGTGTAGACAAGGCCTCATGTGCACTCCGCTCCTCTCTGGTGCGGTTCCCCTGCCCAGCTCCCAAGCCGCCAGGAACTGAGCAGTTTGATGTTCCCTTCTTGGAGCCAGCAGACCATGGACTGAATCTCTGAAAACCAGGAGCGAAGTTAAACATCTCCTCCTTTAAATCTTGAGTGTAGAGTATTGTGTCCAACAAGGGCAAAACTGACTAATACACTCACCTGTTTCTGGTTTTATCACTAAGTTTTACTGAAGAGTTCAGAATTAACAACAACAAAAGAAATTTAAATTCTGTGCCATTTGGAAACATTCCCCTAGTTGGTTCAGAGGGAAAGATCAGGGTGCTCTTGACGATTCTTGGATGGCACTCCCCCTGGACAGCAGAAAGGGAGTTAGAAAACCAGTTCTTTGGCTAAAAGCTGTTTGAGGCTATGTCTCTTGTGGCTTCCTTTTGGCTCTAGCACAAGTGGCTGGGCACCGTTTTGTAGAAATTGATTTAACCCATGTAGCACCACTGTAAATCCCTGTCTTACAGATGAGGGAAGCGGGCCTCAGAGAAATTAAGCAGCTCGCCCAGATTCATAGAGCTTCAAAGCATGAGAACCAGAGCTGGACTTGGGCAGTTCAATGCCGAGCTGGGCTCTAAGCCATCTAATTCAATCTATCTATCTCTCCTCTTCCCTTTCAGACTTCTTGAAAGCACAGTCTCCACTTTTATCTCCCTTCCCATCCTTGTATCAAAAGACTACAGTCTGATTTCTACCCTCATTATGCTATTTAAGTTTCTTTCACTGAGTTTAACAATGCATTCCCAATTATTAAATAAATGGCTTCAGTTCTTATTTATTGAAATTCTATAGCAGTCTTTGTTGCTCTCAGCCTTTTAAAACTCTATTCACTTGGCTTCCTGGTTGGCTGAGCCTCCAGTTATCCCTGCGAGACCCTCATCCACCTAGTGCTCTCTCTCTCTCTCTCTGTCTGTCTATCTTGCTATATAATCTAGGCTGGCCTTGAACTCATTACCCTCCTGCTTCAGGCTCTTGAGAGCTGGGATTACCTGGTGACTGTCTTTTAAAAGGAACTCCTAGTATCTAGTAGCTAGGTAGGATGCATTAAGGATCACACACTGTTGTCTTTAATTATCTGTCCTCCGATTAAATGCCTAGCTTTGAGGGCAGAAACTGTCACTCATTGCTATGGTTTGGTTAAGTGTTCCTAGGGGTCACATGTTAAAGGCCTGGAGGATCTCCTGGGATACGTAAGGGGCTGGTAGGAGGTCTTTAGGTCACTAGGTGTTCCCCAAATGCATTTTTGAGACCCTGTGTCTTCCTTGCTCTCTTTTTGCTTCCACATACTCTCCATCTTGGCCATCTGGCACCCCAACCGTGACCCAAAGAATGTGTTCTCTTGATTTTGGACTGGGACCTCCAAAACTCTTAGCCAAGATAAACCTTTTCTTTATAAGCCAGTTATCTCAGAAATTTCATTATACTGGAGAGTGACTAATACACTCATTTTAATATTTTCAACTCTTAGTACAGCCTGCCACAGTACCTATGCATGAGGTATCCACTAGACAGATTACCCCATATAAACTGTGTTTCCCAGCAGTTTCTGTAGATGTGTCCAAATATTTTAAACATTCTGCAGTGTATAAATGTTCAGAAGAGGAATAATCATTTTTGTCTGGGTAAAAAAAATGGATGTTTGTTTTTAATGGGGTTTTTTGAGACAGGATGTTGCTATATGGTTTAGGCTGGCCTCAAATTCACAGTGACCCTCCTGCCTCAGCTCCTGAGTGCTGCAATTACAGGCATGCACCACCATGCCCAGCTTCGGGTAAAATGTTATAAAGATAATAGTGTCTGAGCTGGAAATCATTTAAAGTCCAGAGGCAAGAAAGGGAGAGAAAGAATAGCAACATTGTACTCCCATGCCAGAGACTAGAGAACAGCAACTGGAGTGACTTTGTTGAAACATCACATTCGGATAAGGGAATAGAGGGCTCAACTGAAAAGGTCGGACGTATAGATGAGGCCTGGGAAGGAGTTCCGGCTTTGCACCATGGGTGAGTAATAACCTACACCGCACAGGATGCTTGTAGCTCCTACTGACTGGACACCTGGTGGCGGGCCATCTGGGCACTAGGCCAGGACTCACTGCAGGGAGGGTAAGCAGAGCAGAGGGCTGCCCTGAGAAGCCAAATGCACCCTGACTCGGGGAGGAAGCACATGAGTTACAAAACAACAAAACAAAAAACAGCTGTACTTTACAAATCTCATCCTCAAAAAGTACATAATTTTTAAACATCTTTGATTTTGAAATGCATGTTTTGGTCAATTGCATGTCTTAGTGTAATCGGTAGCACTTTCCCCTGATGATACATAAAACAATGCCGTATCTTAGATAATGCTTGTCTAAGACTCCATGAGCTATGACAGTGGTATATGAATAAGAAATAAGGAATTCAAAGGCTAAGTTTTAAACCAGGATAACAGAAAAGAAATATGAGTTCCCTGGAGCCCCACACCGAGTCAAACCCAATCTTCAGTTTGGGCAGTGACCCACTGCTACTCACCTACTTCCCTCACTTGAACTTAATACTAATACTACTATGACTAATAGTAAGTACTGACTAGTAACAACTTTAATTTGATCATTTCAGTTTGACTCTCAATACCAAAACTGGAAGGGAAGACCAGTCGACCCTGAAAGGGGTACATGAAGCTTAGGGGTGATGGCAGTCCGATTTTGGGAAGTCACCTATACCAAAGCAGCCGTCATTTGAACAATCGGAACTTCCTCAGAAGCTGGCTCACTTCTTCCTTGGGGTACGGCCGGAGTGCAATGCAAGTGGCAATATTCTCCGGCTGCTCAAGCCACAGCGTGTGGTCGATGTTCTTCTGTTGCAGGGTGTCAGCCAGCTCCTTTAGGGTGGTCTCATCTGGGGCCTGAAGGGGCAGAACACAGCAGAGACCGAACAGCCCATCGAGACGTGTCGACAGCCACAAAAAGCACAGGGCTGGGGGCGCTTTTCTTAATCGAAACTGGAAAAACAGCCTCACCAAAGGAACCATGGAGCAACAATTTCATTCGCTGGTTTGCCATTCACTCTCTGTAGGGTCTTTGCTAAGTGGCCTGGGAGGATTCAGGGGAGACGGGAGAGAGGGAAGAGGCTGGATGATCCTGCCTGCACAATGGAGATTTTTCTCTTCCCCGTCAGGATGTACGTGTTGTCAGGAATGATGCTTCAGGCATTTTCTCCTTCTCTCACGGGTGGCACCCACAACAGCCAACCCTGATCCATCACTCCTCTCCGATTTTAAGAGCGACTGCTAGAAGGGTTTCTAAAATAACATGCACCTTCTACGTTCCCTTTCATCCCACCAGGCTCAAACCCAGAAAGGGATTCCTCCTGCTGGGATAGCTCCCACTTTCTTACAAAAGGGAAAACAAACTATTCTCTAACAGCCTTCTGAAACTATTTCTGGGTCATCCTTGTCACCCACTCCCAGAAGCCAATGCCGAATGCCCCTGCAGAAAGCATTAACTTACAACTTAGAAGACAAAGACACTTAGCGTGTCATTTTGCATAAGATGACAACCAGCGGCTCCTCTCATGAAGTCAGAGGACTCTGGGATCACCGTCCGTCTACCAAATCCTGCCTGGCGGACTCATTTACACCCCTCCTGCTGCACCTAGCAGCAGCACCGCACAACTCAGTGGGCGAGGGAGGCTCTGGAGCCCGCTGCTAACCTCACACGCTTGCTCTTCTGCCTAGTGCCCGTGTGCTCTTTGAGGACTCCGGTGACGCAGCAGTGCTTCTGCTTCCCCTTTGTGAAAGGAGGGAGGCAATGTTTCCCACGGTGATAGGGAATCCCTGAAATGAGGTTCAGACCTACGCTTGGCGCATGTAAGCACCAATATATACAGTCAGTCTGACACCACCTAACGTTTTGTGGGCCTCCGTGGCTACAGCAGCACTCAGCGTAATTAGCAGTGATTCCAGAGTCATGACTAAGAGTTCAGTGTCATCAGACGTCTTTTAGCTCCCTGTGGGCTTCAGATGTCTCACCTGAGAAAGGGGAGTCTTTTTTTGTGGGGGGGTTTATTAGCTTCAATTTTAATTTTAAAAAGTTTGTTTTTATTAGTGCATGTTAGCAGTGCATAATGATTGCACTCACGGCGGGAGGTGCTTCACGTGCACACTTTAACTCTTTTTAATTCCCCATCCCCTCCTCTCGCTCCTCTCTTCATCTCTTGGACTCCTTTCCATTTGCAAAAGATCTATTTCCTTGTTTTCAATCACCTATCTTGTATTTAGCTCTTTGGGCTCCTCACACAAAAGAAATCATGCGATACTTAAGCTTGTGTGTCTGATTTATTTCACTGAACATTATGGTCTTAAGCCGCGTCTATTTTCCTACAAATAACTCAAAATGTATCCTTCTTTATAGCATAGTAGTACTCTGTAACACATTTTATTTATCCACTCATCTGTGGATGGACACAGTCCTTTTCATGATTTAGCTATTATGAGTTTTGCTGTTACAACCAAAAGGGGACAAGCTGGATGAAAAGGAGAGTCCTGAATCAAATAATTGCTGGAGGTCCTCTTCACATGAAAAAAAATTCTAAACAAAAAGCTCCCTGCTTCTTTTCTGCCTACTCATAGACTCTCAAGACATTTCCCACGGATTCCTGGTTGATGTTTCTCTACCCAGCAGCATGTTAGTCTACCTTTGCCAACCAGACATGAAGGGATCACCCCAACCCTCCACTACAAGGCAATGATTTTTTAAAGCTTTTTCCCCATTATAAAATGTGTTTGATATAGAGCAATTAAAAATATAGAGAAGCAGGGCCAGGGATTTAAATGCTCAGTGGCACTGTGACCATGCCTACCTCACAAACACAAGGTCCTGAGTTCAATCCCTGGTACAAAAAAAGGATCCTCCTAAAAATACAGGGAAGCATAAAGACCCCTACATTCCATTCCACAGCCCACTAGTTAATACAGATGTATTTTCTTAGCTTTCCCTTTCAAAATTTAAATCGTTATAGAATATAGCTCAAATAGCATCATATCATGAGCACTCTCCTATGCTTCAAAAAACATGATTTCTGCAAGCCATGTAATAATACATCATAAGGCCTGGGGGTTTTAGCTCAGTGCTAAGAGTGCTCACCTGGAATGCCTAAAGCCCAGTTCGATCCCCAGTACCACATCTCCCAAAACAACAAAGATATATCATAAGGGCACAGATTAATTTAACCAGTGCTTAGTATTGGTAACTTAATATCGTCACTTTTTTCCTTTTTTTTGAGACAAAGTCCGGCTATATAGTGCAGGCTGGCCTTGAACTCACTCAAGCAGGCCTCAAACTCCAAGAGATCCTTCTAGCTCAGCCTCCCAAGTGCTGGGATTATACGCTTGTGCTACCAAGCCCGGCTTCCACTTTTTTTTCTTTAACAGTCCAAAGTGCTCCTATGAATATCCTCGTGCAAAACTCTTTAAGGCCGCATCTAGGAATTCCAGCAGTAGAATCAAGGGAGTCAAATGGTAAGATGTTTGGCCAAAGGCAAAAGAATCTTACTGCTATTTTTTTAAAAAATGTACCGATTTACACCCGTGGTGTCTGGTATTTTTGACTTTAGGCTCAGTTTACACTAGGAATTTAAATACTTATTTTCAAACAACGCGGTGTCCCACCGAAGTAAACGCATCAGCTCACTGCGCTGCCATCTGACCGGGTCTACCCGGGACGCAGTAATTCGCGCCAGTTTAAAGGCTGGCCAGGGCGCCTGCGGAAAGGCGGGACGCGCCCCACCAGCAAACGTCCTCCCGCGGGGACCACCAATTTCCGGTGAGCCTAGAGGCGGGGCTTAATATAAGGTCTGACATCCACACTTCACACACTCATACCCTGCCTAAGAGAAGGCTTCCTAGATCACAGGTCAAGGCCCAGAGGGTCCTCCACAACCCGAAAAGTTAAAAATCCCCCTCTCAGGCCGCGCCCACTCAACGAAGTTAAGCTTCCGACCCAAGACCACGCCCATTTCCGTTCTCGACGCCCTCAGCGTCCCACCCCTCACCCTGGATGTTTTACCTCGAGGACCACTTTGCGCATGCGCCCCAGTTCCCGGAGGTAAGCTACGGTGTGCGGGTGGTCGCGGTGAAGATGCAAGGCCGCAGTGGCTGCGTGACAGGCCTGTGCTACCAACGCGCCCGCTGGCCAGGAGAACGGAGCCTGCGATAGGTCTTTTCGTAACACCAAGTATTGTACCAAGATCTGCGGCTCGGCCCCAGAGGCCGCCATCTTCCTGACCAGACGAATGGCTGAGTCTATTCTGCGGTGCATGCTGGGATCAGGGAGGGGCCCTAAGCGCCGCCATGCTTTTGTACGGCGAAAGCGCAGAGCCTTCTGGGACCGATTGGATTTTGAAGGTTTAGATGGCGGGAATCTCGTCAGTGACCTGGCTGTGGAGGAAAAGAGGTAAGGGAGAGAGAGGGTAGACCCAGGGACGGATGCGCGTGACCGAGCCTGTCAGGGTTTGTCTGAAAGGGAGTGCAAATGACTTGGTGTTTTGTTCTTTTACTGCGAAGGAAGGATATCTAGCTTCGTAGTGGACTCTCCTGGAGCGCTTCATAGGAAAGCTTGGGCCTTAAGGAGCAGATGGAGCAGGCGAATGCTGTACGTCAAGACGGCGAGACCAAAGCAGGTAACCCACTACACGGGTTAGGGTTTCTTGTTCCTTCAAAACGAGAACGGAGTTTGGTGGCTTGTGTATTAAAAAATATGTTACAGGGCCGGGGATTTAGCTCAGTGGTGCCTCCACGTGCCTCACAAGCGTGAGGTCCGGAGTTCAATCCCCGGTACCAAAAAAACAAAAAAATGTGTTACAGCTGGGCGTAATGACTGTTATCCCAGCTACTCAAGTAGCAGATGCGGGAGGATCTCCAATCTGAGGCCAGCTTGGGCAACATAGTTAAGACACCATCTCAGAAAACAACAAAATCTGGACACGGTGGCACAGGCCTGTAATTCCAACATTCTGGGAGGCTGAGGCAGGAAGATTGCAAGGTCAAGCAATTTAGCGATTTATTGAGACCCTGCATCACAATTTAAGGAAGTATTTTAAAGGGAGGTGTATTTCAGTGTGAAGGACCTGCGTTCAGTCCCTGGTACTTCAAAGCAAAAACAAAAATTTTAAATCATGCTGCTATCAGGAGTAATAATCCATCCTCTAATATGACCTAATTTTGTTTCTTTTAAAGTAAATGATGAGGTGGGAGTTTGGATCCACAGACCTAGACTAGTCGAACGGTTATTTACAGCCCCTTTATTGTCTTTCCCAAAAACAGTTAAACATAAGCTGTTACCTATACTGATTTTAGCCCCCTGCCTCATAATTTCAGCTTTCCATTTATGGTATTGTGTGGAAGGAAACGGATAGAGTGGAGAACAGTGCTAACTGATAATCTGAGGTTTCTGAGAAAGCAAGAGGTAGGAATCCGAGAGATAAGACAAATGATGAAATATGACTTTGCATAGTCTGTGTATCTCACTTTTTTTCGATATTTTTGAAATCTTAAAGTCTGATAGTTAAAAGTATAGAATTATTTTTTGTTTTGTTTTGTTTTTTGAGACAGGATCTCACTGTGTAGTTGAGACTGACCTGGAACTCACTATGTAGCCCAGGCTGGTCTCGAACTCACAGCGATCTTCCTGCCTCAGCCTCCCGAGTGTTGGGATTGCAGGTGTATGCCACCACACCCAGCTCAAAAGTATAGAATTTTTGAGGGCTGGGGATTTAGCTTAGTGGTTCCACCACCTGCCTTTCACAAGCAAGGACCCAAGTTGGATCCCTGGTACCAAAAAAAAAAAGTATAGAATTTTTGTAAAGGAGATGTCATCTAATCTGTGGTAAAGCATTGAATCCTTCTTTCCACACTAGAAATGTGCTTTTGTGATAAACTGCAGGCCTGGATAAAGTACTTCTGCCTAGGAAGTATGTGACAGACAAATCGGATTCTCTCTCTCCTTTCCTTTGAAAACTATCCTGGCCAGGTGGCACTCAAGAGGCTGAGGCTGGAGGATCACTGCGAGTTCAAGGCCAGCCTATACTACATAATGAGACTCTGTCTCAAAAAAAGAAAGAAAGAAAAACCAGGGACCATTTTTTTTTTTTTTTTGGTACCAGGAGTTGAACTGGAGACCTTGTGCTTATGAGGCAGGTGGTGGCACCCCTGAGCTTTTAAATCCCCCATCCAATCAGGGACTATTCTTACATCAGTATTCAACCTAAAAGGTTGATAACTTTTTATTTTGGTTGGTTGTCAGATCCTCAGGTTCCATAATTGTGGCAGATACAACAGTTCTAAAGCAGTTCAGCTGGCCACAAAATTCTGGAAGAAGACACCTGTTCCTTGAAGTACTTTGTGGTTCCAGTATTAGAAGTCCTTGTGAAATTCCCCTTTCATTTTTCCTTAGGTATTTTAGCTCACTTGGAAGGACTAGAGGCTCAAATGAACAGATCCTGTAAAAGGTCTGAAGAGCTACAACGAACTCAGGCAGAGGAAAGTGCTCTTGGGATCAAGATTCGTGAACTGAGGTGCCTGCGAGACAAGCTCAGGGCTGAAGTGAACCAGCGGCGAGCCAGAGTGAGTAGAGTGGGCATGGGGGCTCCCCCGGGTGTAAAGAGCCATCGCGATCTGGGAATCCGCACATTTGTACAGCGGGGTTTACTTTTGATCTTACTGGATTGATTGCAGTCCTTAAATCTTCAAATGATCAAACCTGTAGAGTTGGAGCTAATTATTATCAATAATTGTTTGGTATCAGTGATGGCATTAGCAAGTTCTTCATAATGGTCCCTCAGCCTCATGGACTCCTAACTCAGTACCCTCCGTCTTAGCTGACTTGAGTCCCTTGTATTCCTGTCATGAGTGGCATCCCTATCACCCACACTGAAAATCTCAGGAAACTTTGACCCTTCCCTCTTTGTTTCCCATCTAGCCAAGGTCCAGTTAGCGAAACCTGTCATTGCCTTTATGTTGTCTTCCCACTTACTCTGTCCGTTGCCATAGCTCCCCATATGTGTAGTGCATATTGATTAAGTAATTTGGATGCCAGGATTATTGATCTGCTAGTTAGTATTTCTAGTTTTCCAGTAAATCCTGCATGCCAAAGAAAATGTGTCATAAATATCTGTCACAGTGTATGTCTGCCCCAAATACTGTCAATTATTTTCTGCCTTTTCTCCCTCTCTTTTTTCCCCTTTCTTCCCTTACCCACTCTTCCTTTGCTGTTGTATGCATAAAGTGCACAAATCTGATGAAGTTTTTACAGAGTGAACACAACCAGGTATTTACCACACAGATCAAAAGTATAGAATTTAAAAAAATAATCACAAGCCAGGTATGATGGCACACACCTGTAATCCCAGCACTCGGGAGGCTGAGGCAGGAGAATCACTGTGAGTTCGAGACCAGCCTGGGCTATATAGTGAGTTCCAGGTCATTCTCAACTACATAGTGAGACCTTGTCTCAACAACAACAACAAAAACAAATATTTAAATAAATAAAAAATATAGACTATTACCAGTACCCTACAGTTCTCTTTTGCCTTCTAATCATTTAGTTAAAGGTAACCACTATTCTGATTTCTGCCGCAAGATTAGTTTTACCTGTTCTTGAACTTTATATAAATGTAAAAAGTATAAACTTGTATGTCTGGCCGCTTTTGCTAAATCGTATGTCTGTGACATTCATCCGTACTGTTCATGTGTGGTGATCATTCTGTGCTGTACAGTAATTCTGAACGTATCACAGCTCACCCATTCTCCCGTCGATGCCACGTGAGTTACTGAGGTTGGACTTTGGGATGCTCACGAGTATTGTTTTTGTAAACAGTCTTCTTCCCGTCTTGTAATGCAGACACACAACACTTTTCTGTCAGGTGCCTACCTGGTAGAGTACCTGGGACATAGAGTACCCATATTAATGTCAGTGAATACTGCCAGTGTCCATGCCAGTGTTACATTCCAACAATTGTGCAAGATTTGTTTTATGTTTTTACTGATGCTTTATATTAATAGTTTTTAAGATTTGTCATTCTGGTGGTAGTGTAATGGTACCATAGCGTGGATTTAATTTGCGTGTGACTAATGGTGTGAAGCGCAGTCAGCCATCCATATCCATGGATCAGAAGTATTCACGAAAAATGATGTCTGTACTGAACATTTACAGACTTTCTCTTGTAATTGTTCCCTTAAAATACAGCATAACTATTTACGTAATATTTTATAATATTCATCTAGTATTAAGTATTATAAGTGATCTAGAGATTTAAAGGAAGGGACAAGAAAAAAGTGAAAATGGAAAAAAATGGAAACAGTTTTGTACATAGGAGAGGGAGCATTGGGAGAAATTGGATAAAATAAAAATTGATTTTAAAAAATAAAGCATATGAGAGGTTCACCAGGCATGGTTGCATTAACCTTTAATTACAGCACTCAGGAGGCTGAGGCAGGAGGAGGAGGCTGAGGACCTCAGGTTTAATTGCAGTGTTGGCACTTTGTGATAAGTAAGTGGGTTTTGGGTTGCAGTTTGGGCTCTTGGACTCTAATAAAAGGTTCGCCATCACTGTGATGTAGGTTATATGCAAATACTCTTCCTTTTTATGTGAGGGACTTGCGCATCCATATGTTTCTATTGCAGAAGCTAATGTTACAGTACTGATAGACACTTAAAGTTCTCTTGTGAAGCGTGCTTTTTAAGGCTTTTGAAAATATTGTTTATTGTCTGTTAGATTACAGAAGTTGACATGCCTTGGATATTAGTTGTTTGTTGGGTATAAATATTAGAACCTTCCCTCAGACTGGCTTGCCCTTTTATTCTCTAATGGTGTTTTTTGATGAAGACAATCTGTTTTGATGATATTCACTTTAGGAATTTATGATTTGTGCTCATTTCCTGTTTAGTAAGTCTTTATCTAACCTAAGATCATGATAGTGTTCTGTGTTATTTCATTTTAAGTTTTATTGTTTCATCTTTTAGAATTACAGTCTATCTAGAATAGGTAGGGGTGTGTGTGTGTGTGTGTGTGTGGTGGGATAGAGGTCTTTTTTTTTTTTGGACACAGAGTTTTGCTGTGTAGTTCAGGCCAGCCTTAAACTCAATATGTTGTCCAGGCCGCGGGCTGACCTGGAACTCATGTTGATCCTCCTGCCTTGGCCTTCTGAGTGCTGCTGCTCCACTGCACCCAGCAAGGTCTTCTTGTCTTGTCTTGTTTGTTTTTTTTCCCCTGTCTGGATATCAAGTCATACAGCCCTTGGGTCTTTCCCCCGTATGTTGTAGTGAGCCTGTTTCTGGATTCTGCTCTGTTCCATTGGTTTGCCTGTCTTTGTGCTATAGTCAGAGGTTTATATACTGTAAGTCTTGGTACCTGTAGGACATGCATATAATACATTTCTTCCTCGAGAATTATCTTGGCAATTCTTGGCCTCATGAATTTTCCATAAAGGTCACCTGTCACTTTTCAAAAATAACCCTCTCGTTTTTCACTGGGAGGGTATCCAGTCTAGTTCAATTTGGGAAGATGTGCATCACTACAAAGTGCACTGTTCAGTCAGTGGACTTGCGATGCCTTCCCATGTCATTTCTGTTCTGTGCTTTTTCTCAGTATTGTATATGCTTTTATATGTAGAGGTCTTGAAGCTCACAGAGTCCGCCCAAAAATGTGTATGCACTTCAGGAGAAGAAAAATAGTAGGATGTCTTTTCAGTAGATGATGTTACCCTCTTATAGGGGAGCCTAGAGGATGTCATGTATTGCAGGAAGCCCACTGCACTGCCGGCCCTTAGAGCAGAAACTGAAAATGCATGTGCAGCAACCTCAATGACCGAGGTTACCCAAGCAGCCGTTTGCTGTTTTCTAATCAATGTCTGGAAGCCAGTGGCCACCGCTTTGAGCACCTCCTCTAATTGTAGAGGCCAAAGGTAACTTGTATTAATCTTGTGATGTCTCAACAAATTTAATATTGAAATATATATACCAGTTTTTCTTTATGTGAAGTGTGTATACATGTTTTTTGGCAGACTCTGTATATATTTAATTTTTTTTTTTCCTGGTATTAGGGATTGAATTTAGGACCTTGTGCTTGTGAGACAGGTGCGTTGCCACTGACCTAAATCCCCGACCCTGTATATATATATGTTTAATCTTGATGTTACTGCATGTGGCAGAGGACAACAGGCTTTTTCTATGGAGAGCCAGATATTTTAAGCTTTTTGTGAGCCATAGAGTCTACGGCAGCTACTCTGCTGTTGTAGCGTGGAAGACAGTAGGTAAAACGGTGCAGTGTGGGCTGGCAGAACCTTCTTTGCAAAAAAAACACATGGCTGGGTTTGACCCACAAGCTATAGTTTAATGACTCCTTCTATACGGTATTATGTTTTACAAGATTTGTGTTCTGTTTTATAGAAATACATTTGACTCTGTGGGGCAACGTAGCTAAAGCCATATATTTTAATAGTTTGTCTTTGTGTTCTTTGGAATTCATACATTTGCGTGTCTACAGCCAAATCACCCTGCGCAACCCGATTTGGAATTTTTACATTTGGAGTTAAGCATATTTAAGCAAAAACAGTTTTACTTCTTCCTTTCCGATACTTGTAACTTTTTTTTTTTCACCTAATCTACTGGCCAAGATAATCTGTTAGGTTGTTAAGTAGAAATAGTCATAGCCTTTTTGCTGTAAATTCAGTGTAGATACTGTATTAAAGAAATTTTCTAGTTTGCTAAGAGTTTTAATCATGATCTAGCTTTTTTGCTGTTCTGAGAGACAGGGTCTCGCTATATAGGTCAGGCTGGCTTTGAACTCACTATGTAGTCCAGGCTGGCCTTAAACTCATGGTGATCCTTTCTGTCCACACACACGCATACACCACGCTAGGATTACAGCCACCACTCCTGGCTTTAAGTATTGAATTGAAGCGTTTTTATTGCAGACATTAATGTGACTTTATGGTATTGTCCTTTATTTTATTAGGGTGCAAAATATATTAATCGATATTTGCATGAGAAACATCCCGTACTTTATTTAGCCCGTTAGTTTGCTGTCCTGGACTATTCTTTAGGTGATGCTGTATCTGATTTGCTGATAGGCTAATGGGACTTTTGTATCTACATTCATGAGAGAGATGCCCCTCATCGCCGTCTCCGTCCCTGCATCTGCATGCCTTCCTGTCTGCGTGCATGTCTCCTCCCCCACCCCTCTCTCTCGTGGTGACCTTGTTAGGCTTTGGTGGTCTCAGAAAGCAGGTTGAGAGACTTTTCTTCTTTTTCTATTCCCTGGAAGATTTTTTTTATTTTTAAAAAATGTTATCCATTTCCTCCCTCCAGCCCCTTCCCCTCCCTGTGTATGAAAGCTTTGTTTCCATTTTTTCCTTCTGTTTTCACTTTTTTCTTATCCCTGCCTTCCTCCCTCCTCCTTTCTTCCCTTTCACATTTGAATACTTTCTTCCCGTTTCCCAACATCCATTATACATTTTCTCTGGAAGATTTTGTAGGAAGTTGGGTTTTCCTTAAGTTTTGTAAAGATTCTTTTGAGCCAGGTTGTTGGTGCATGCCTGTAACACCAACCTTTAGGAGGCTGAGGCCAGAGGATCACAGTGAATTTGAAGCCAGCCTGGGCTACATAAGGAGAATTTGTCTCAAAAACACCCCAAAAAGAATTGTCTAGTAAAGCCCCCTGGCTGTTTTGTTTTGATATAGTGTTTCACTGTATAGTCCAGGCTGGCCTCAAACTCTCCATGATCTTCCTTAGCCTACCAAGTGCTAGAATTATAGGTGTATACCACCATGTCCAGCTCTTGGCCCTTTTTTGTGGGTCTGATTTTTTAATTTCTGATTCAGTTTCTTTGGTCTGCATAAAATTTAGGATTAGGTCACTTTTGCTAAACTGTGTTTTTCAAATAATTTGTCAGTTTTATAGAAATATTCACATTTAAAGTTGTTTGAAACTTAAAACTTGCTGTCTTGTGAATATGATTATCAGTGATATCCTATTTTTTATTCTGATATTACTAATTTGTGCTTGTTCTCACTGTTTTATAACTTGGGCCTTTTCTTAGAAGTATCTTTGGGCTTTATTAATTTCTCATTGATCCTTTGTTTTGTTTTTTCATTGATTTCTGCCTTACTCTGTTTGGATTTACTTACTCTTTTAACTTCTTGAAATAAATACTTCTTTTTTTGTGTACATATATTAAGATTATAAAGTTTTCCTCTAGGCATGGCCTGCCTTCTCTATATCCCACAAGGTCTTGTCATATTTTCATTATCATTTCAATTCAAAATATTTTAAATCTCCATCGTGGTGTTTTCTTTAGCTTATGGCTTTTAGGTGTATATTATTCAATTTCCAAACTTTGAGTATTTGCTAGTTATTTGTTTTGGTTAGTGATTTATAGCTTGACTCCCTTGTGGTATTCTAGCTAATCTCCCATGTATATTAATCGTGGGTTTTGTGTTCATGGAGTACTATTTTCTGTATGTATCAAATAGTTCTAGTGTGTTCCTCATGCCTCATGTTTCAATATTTTATATCCTGATTTATATACTTGCCTACTGAGATTTGTTAAAATGTCCACCCTTGCGCCGGGATTGTGGATCTGTTACTTCTTTCATTCAAGTTTCAGTATGTACAGTATTGGGTGCAGAATAACTGTGTCTTTCCTAGTTGAGTTAACCTTTTATTATGAAATATTCCTTATTTTTAGTCAAACTTCTTGCCTTTAAGTCCATTTTATGAAATGAAAGTACAGTTTTTACTTTGTGTGTCTGTGTATGTGATATGGATTGAACCCAGGGCCTTGTGCACACTACGCAAGTGCTGTACACCTCCAGCCCAACGTTTTTTTGTTTTTTAGAGACATGGTCTCCTCCTATGCAGTTCAGGTCAGCATTGAACTCACTTTATAGTCCAGGCTGGCTTTTAACTCACAGCTTGACCTGCCTCAGCCTCCTGAGAGCTGGGATTACAGGTGTGTACCACTGCGCCCAGCTAGCACAACGATGACTTGGGGGAAGTACTAGAGATCGAATCCAGGGCCTTGCACATGCCAGGCAAACGCTGTACCACTGAACTACATCTCGAGCCCACAACTATTTTTGGCTAGGGTTGCATGGCAAATTTTTCCATTTTTTCTCCTTGCAGTCTCAGTGCAAATGTAGTTAAGGTATTCCTCTCATAAGTAGCATAAAATTAAATATTTTAACCCATCCTGACAGTCATTGGAGTATTTGGTCCATGAACATTTAATATAATTATTTGGATTTTACTCTACCTATTACTGTTTTACTGAATCTTTTGTTTTGTACGTCAGTGTTCTGTCAGGGCTTATACACACACCTTTCTCAGTGCTCTTTACACTTGCATTTCCATAGTTCTACCTGGGATTATTTTCCTTTAAGTATCTCCTTTTGGAACTTCTTTAAGTGTAATACTCTTTGCAGTAAATTCTGTTTTTGTTTGTTGGAAAACATCTTTCACTATGTTTTTCATTTTTACACTGAGTATAGAGTTTGTTTGTACTTTATGTCATTCGTTTCTAGATCCATGGCTTCTGTCAGACTAGGTGTCTTACATATTTAGGTACTGACAAGCCTTATTTGAACATAATGGGTCCCCCCACCCCCCATCTCTTTAAGATTTTCTGTCTTTGGTTTTCCTCAGTTTTAGATCATAATACTGTATGGCCAGACATAGTTTTCTTCTTTATTCTGCTTGGTGTTATAAAGTCTCCTTTTTGAAACAGGGCCTCGCTGTGTAGTCCTGGCTGGCCTGAAGTTGTGGAAGCCCCTTGCCTCAGCCTCCTCAGTCCTGGGCTGACAGGCAAGTGCCACCAAGCCTAGCAGTAGAGCTTCTTAAATTACTGCTTGATGTTTTTCATCTACTTTAGAAAATTTGATCTCTTCAAATAATACATCAGTCTCATTCTTTACACAAATTTGGTGTCTCATGTGTTTTTCTTCCTGTGACCTATATCTTAGCTAGTTTTCTACTCTTATTTTCTCTATTTCATATCCTGCAGTCCTCTCTCCATTCCTACCAAAACTGTAATTGTTCAGCTAGTGGCTTCTGCTCTGGTTTCTGGTGCGTGACCCACAGATTCCTCTGCTGTGAGCTCATAGCACCAGCTGGATGCCTAGGGGTAGACTATTTTCTGGATTTACTGCATAATAGAAAACTGCATTTTGCTTCTATCCAGTCAGGTGAAGCCAAGGACTTTGAGGTGTACCCCTGTGGACCCACTTTGACTGGCTGCTTATCTTGCAGGCTAAAGCATCTTCTGCCAGTGTAGAACCTGACCAAACAGTGGGGATCGGAGAGCAAGAAGTTTTGGAAAGGAAACAGGAAAGTGTGAAAGCTGTTCTGCAGGCTTATCGTTTTACAGGTACTGTGCTCTTCCGAGCTGATTCATCCTGTTTAGTGAGTTACAGCAGTTTGCTATATTGGACTTATTTCATGAGAATTAAATTTGCACCCTTTAGCCACGTTATTCACATAAAGCTAGCACACAGTTTAGAGGTATACTTTTCCCTGGAAGTTTGGCCACTGTACAGCAGATTGGTTGGTGGCTGGCTGGCACCATTCATTGTAGCAACTCCTCATGCGCTAGACCCTGTACTAGAACTTCTTCCTTCACTGCTGACCTGCTTTATGTTCCTGGTCAAATAGTTTGAACTCCTCAGATCCCTGTTTTGGTGTAAACAGGAATGTATTCTATTTGTGCCACAAGAGCATCGTGGGAAGAAATGGGACTGTGACAGGTTATTTGACACTTAGGCAAAAAGAGAGAATGGGTACACACATTTTTAGGTTTTTTTCTTTAATAAATTTGATAGGGTGTCCTTTCTTTCCTACTATCTTTTTTTTTTTTTTTTTTTTTTTT